CCGAAAGCCCTAGATCGAATTCAACAGAGTGATCTTGAAGATCATTGTTTCGAAAGCCCTAGATCGAATTTAGAACAAACAAAACTATGATCGCAACTTGTGAAGTACAGTAGAGAGAGAAAGAGAGAGAGACCACATTTAGAGGGAAAATCAGAAAATACCATAGTTAGAAAATACCGACAGAGGGAAAATTTGAAAAGAAATCAATTGAAAGCAAGAACAAAACTATGATCGCAATAGTAGAGAGGGAGAGAGAGAGATAGAGAGAGAGGGAACTGAATGGGTCTCTTTTATGACAGAGTGATCTTACCTAGAGAGCAGCAGTTTCGAGTGCGAGGGTATGGAAGAAGAAGAACAAGCCTGGAGAGCAACAGTTTCGGGAGCGAGGGTATGGAAGAAGAAGAACAGGGAGGGAGAGAGATAAAAGGGGAAATGGGTAGGTGAGAACAAAGAAGGGAGGAGATAAAGATTGAATAACAAAGTGATCTTAATGATAGAATGGAGATGAGACGTGGGTGAGTAGGAAGTTTAGTGTTTGGGCGGGAAGTAAATTGATATATATTTAAAGGGGCTCATCTCATCCGTCTATCTAAATACATAATTGAATCATGACCGTTAAAATGTCCTAGTAGGACAATTGTCTCTAGGATAAATTCAAAAACCTTTCTCCCTTATTATATAACTCTCATGTGTTTATTACGTAAGACAAAGTGTATTGATGGAAAACATGGATAATTTTCCTCTCTTACCTTAATTTCGTAGTCATATTTTTATCACATGACTAGATTTTGTTGAAGATTTAAAAATGAAGTAATAGAAAAGGGATATTGACACTTGTGTAGGGACCAAAGTGAGATTTGAGTAAAAGTACAAGGGGTTCACTATCATGATTTCATACATAGGGACCAAAGTGGAATTTGACTGAGTTGATTGTCATGATTTCATATGTAGGGGCCAAAATGAGATTTGTGCAAGGTGCAGGGATGCAAAGTGTAATTTACCCTTTTAATAGCAGAAAGTGTCCAACCCATCACCAATGGCATATTTAATTACAAGTATCAATCCATTTATTCCAAAGCTATGAGGATGTGTTTACTCATGAATTTTGATAAGGATTTAAAAAGGAAAAAGGAAAATGTGGGTTAACTATGAATAAATTATAATTACATTTCACCTACTTTTTTCTCTTTGTTTTTAAAATTCCTATCAAAATCCATAATCTAAACACAGCCTAAAGGTCTTATCCCCATATCAATCCCAAATGACTCTTGCCCTACTATGCTTCAAATCTGTTCTAGACCAGAGCAATGCTCTAACCACATTTTCAATGTCTTTATCCACCTTATAGTAGGTAAAATGAACAAAGGGCTACTAGTAAAATTTGATAATCTTATCTTTTCAATTGTTTTGCAATCCTTGTATTTGATTTGGTTGAGATGTGGGTAACACCCACATGTCTAATAGGAAGAATACACGAAACTTATAGAATTTGATTCAGTAGAGATGCTTGAGAAGTATTCTGAACATTTTTGTAAGTTTGTCCTAAGAAAAGATCGATAACTAATAGAACTCATTTAGAGTTTCTTTTATCACTACGAAAGGATAACTAATGTCAAAAGTGATAGCTATGAGAGGCATAGTAGAACTGGTGGCTTGGATTTGAGGGAGTGAAGAGAGGGGATGTGGAAACTTGTTTATTAATCGACTTCTAGAATACTTGAATTTGGTAATGTGTAAATAGTATTACCATGCAACTCATTGATTAATGACTAAGAATTGATGATAACATATTTTTGGAATAGGGTTATTATCTGAAAACTTGTTTGGTTAGAGAGAGTTTATTAGGAAATAGAACCCATGGTATTACTTGGAGTAGGCAAATCATATCATGGGTGGCTTGGCCAACTTGGATACAAAGTGCTTCTGTGAGGTATTTAGGGATTTTCATTTTTATATCATAGCCAACACTAGAGTTGAATTATAGCCAACACTAGAGTTGAATTATGGGCTAAAGCATGATTTCAGATTAGGAATTCAATGTGATGGATTTTGAGAAAAGTTTGAAGGAAATTAGATCAGTCAAAAGCCAAAAATAGAATTTAATTGAATTTCTGCTGTGGCCAGAGAGAACCAAATGAAATGATAACCCTATCTCAAACAACCCCATATATGCTCTTCCCAGTATAGTGTTATGTTAATCCAACATTGCATTTTCCATGGATAGATTGGAAGTGTGATGACCGGTTTCATTTTTGCGTTACTTCACTTTTGTTTTCATTGGGTTTGCGATGTCCAGAAGCCTTTCTCAAATAATTTCTCGTTCTTGTTTATTCGGTGTTGATTCTTCACTGGTTCCGGAGAGTGCTAGGTTGAGTCCGAAGTGCTTAGAATAGAGCTGAGAGTTTTCTGGGCAGCTGGGTCAGGGCCGTACATGCGGGGTAGGGCCGCACGTGCGGGAAATGAGGCCACACGTGCGGGGTAGGGCGAGTTGTGGAGGGTTGTACATTGCCTAAAAGGCAGGTGCAGAGTGAAGAGCGAAAAAGACCACCGTAGGTACGGGGGTGAAGGTCGCACGTGCGGGGAAGGGCGCTGCACGTGCGGGATTCTGGGCAGCCGAATCTCTGTTTTTCTTTTTTTTAATCTCCTTTGGCCGAGTTGTATCACATTTTGGGCATTTCCCTGTCAGTCTAAACACTATTTTTCTTATCCCTCTCTCTAAAAACCCTCATCAAAACACTAAAACTCTTTGATTTCTTACAATCCATTGGGTATAGAGTCATCTTCCCTCACTAATCTTGGAGATAAAAAGCTAGAGCTTCACATTGTGTGGTGAAAATCAAAGATCTCTCATCTTTGATCCTAGGGTTTCATCAATCTTTTCATCAAGCTTGAGGTAGGGAAATTACTTTGAGTTATATATATGTTTGTGTAAGTTTTGATTGATTTTGAGAGCTCTTTCTTGTGTATTTCGAAAATTGGTTTTGGCTCAAGAAAATGTTGATTTTGTAAGAAGAAAATACTTTTTGTTCTTTTTATAGATTTCCTTGAGATGTTGAACTACATGGGTAGAGATGGAGATAGTTGTGATGTTTGGAAAAGAGAGGAAGAAATGTTAGGGTTTTTGTGAAAAACCTAGAAAATTTGGAGCTTTGGGAACAATGAGGAAATTTATGAAATTTTCTTGAATTAAATGAAAGAGTGAGTGAGGATTTATGTTGTTGGGCTGAACATGATGACCTCTTGATGAATGAGGGCCTTGGAAATCAAAAAGAAAATTGAGACAATTGTTAAATGCATATATATACATGTGGCTATGAATTGATACATTGTTGAAATTCCATGGAATATATGACATTGTGACTCTTAGAAGTTGATGTTCAAAATTTTGCCTATAATTTTGAAAGGGCTAAATAGTTGAAAATTTGTGCAAAATGAAGTAATGTTGCCATGTGTTAACGTCTTTTATTGAATCCATGGCCAATTTGTGAAAGGGCATTGAGGGAAGGAAAAATGGAAATTTTGGTTATCATTGTGTTGTTGTTGGGGCATTAAAGAATGAGGATTGTTATGTAGCATTATTATTTATTGCATCTCATTCTCTTCAAAATTGATAACTTTACACTTTGAAATGAGTTTGGAACATTTACATTGAGAAAATGATAACGCGAAATGAAATCTTGGAAATGTTTATGGAGTAAATACGTTGGTAAGTCCAGATAGGAGGGGTAGATGAAATTGATAAGTTGGCCTAAGTGTCTGGAGTGAAAGACCGAAAACACGCACGAAGGAGGTACCACTTCCCTTCCAGTTAGCAAACGGTAAAGTGGGGTATTGGTTGTGCTTGTTGAGCCATTTTGCAGACACCAACCTATAAATTACCTGAGTCGTATTTACCGTCCCCATTTAATAAAATTGTGAAGTTTGAAGTTGTTGAGATTGCAAACTAGTGTTGAAACATGATGATTTTCAAGAAGAGCATGAAATGAAATCCTTCTTTAAAATATCTTGCATAAATGTATATACTTTGTTAAGGATTTCTCTACTGGGCTTTATGCTCACCCCTATGGGATTTGGTGCAGGTAAAGATGTGGTGATCCTGTCGAGTTGAGGGCATGGACATAATTTGTGAAAAGTAACTGGCTCTATTTGTTATGATTTAGTTGCTAGCCAAGGGCTATTTTTGTATGGGTACGAAAGGCCACTTTTGTGTAACCAGGCTTAAGCCTTGGAAGTTGTAAGCCCATGAGGGCATTTATTTACTTTGAAATTAGATGCTTCACATGCTATAAATTCATGTGTTTTTCATACCATTGAATGTATATCTGCATGTGAAACTTTTGTATAAGCTCGTTTATTTATCATGTGAAGATGGAAGGATTATTATCATTAGTTAGTGAATGTTGGTTGTTGTGGTTGAATTATGTTGGTTTATTTTCGGGGCGTCATAACTTGGTATTAGAGCTACCGGGTTTGAATACTTGAGGCTCATGTGAAGTGGTTACTTGCCACAATGGGTTCATTTTGTGTGATTAGGAAGTGTTTTGCTTTTCGTGATTATGTGATAACATGCTTATGTGACTATATGGGTATGGGATTGGAATTTTGGGATGTTATTTGCGCCTATTAGATTCCTTGAGGTCTTATTAGAAAGGTACTTGATCAATACTCACTCTACTAAGAATTCTTGGTTTTTTGTGGGACAAATCTCTTCACTAAAGGATAATCCGTATGTGCTTACATGACTAAGTGCTTATGTGGAGTGAATTGAATTGTTTGTGTGGTAGAATATATGTGATCGATGTTGTTTAACATGTGAGGCAAGTTGCGAGCACATTTGGAATTATGTGCTAAATTATTTATCTTATTCCTTAATTAGGATGTCAGGAAGGGTTTGAACTCGTGGTGGTAGAGGTGGAAGGCGTGGTAGGGGTCGCCGGGGTGTGCATGAGGTACCGGTCCAAGAGGTTCTGGTACAAGAGAAGGGGTTAGGCCAAGCTAACATGGCTGAGCAAGTGCGGCAAGCTGAGATATCGGGGGAAGCGGGTCAAGCCGCAATGGGGGCCCTTGCCCAAGAAATGGCAGGGGCATTGAGGGAGTCCATGAATATACTAAGGGCGGAGAAACAAGCTAGGGAGAACGTCATAAAGACAAGGGCCAGCTTCCTCACGAGGAAGTTTTTGCAGGCCAAGCCACATGAATTCCATGGTGGCCCCAAGCCAAAGAAAGCGGATGAATGGCTTGAACAAACTGTGAAGACTTTTGACATGTTTCACATTGAGGATAGTGAGCTCAGAGTGACTCTTGCGAGTGACTACCTCAAGGGGGACGCGGGCCAATGGTGGAAGTACGCCAAAGAACGAATAGAACCGACATGGAAGGCATTTGTGGTGGCCTTCCAAGACAAGTACCTATCTCCCACGGCTAGGGAGAGGTTGAGGCAGGAGTTCCAAGACCTTAAGCAACTTAACATGTCCGTGGCCGAGTTCGAAGTGGTCTTCTCTAGTTTGTCCCAGTTTGCACCGGAGTTGGTAGTGACGGAAAAGCGTCGTTGCATTGAGTTCGAGAAGAAGTTGAGAACTAAGATCTTGTTCAAGGTTGCTAGGAACATGATCTGGAATTATGACCGCCTTGTTGAGGTGGCCGTACATGTGGAGATTACCATGGAGGCCGAAGAGGAGAGACTTCGGAATTCGAGGTCTAGGGGACAAGGGTCACAGGGAGACTATAGGCCCAACACGAAGAGCAGAAACACCTTTTCATCCTAGTCCTAACTGCAGCAGTCTAGATCTACTTTTCCATTGCCTAGTGCGAGCCCGGGGAAGAGTGCACCGAATGGGTTTTCTTGCTTCAAATGTGGCCAACCGGGTCACAAGGCCTTTGCATGTCCACAGAAGGGGGAGAACAGTAGATGTTGCCACCACCACCACCTAACTGATCTTAGAGTCAGTCTCAGAGTAGAGGGCAGGGGCCGACTTGCTACCAGTACGATCAGTCAGGGCATATGAAGAGAGCTTGCCCGCAGTTAGGAGGTGTATCTGGCGCATCAGGGTCGAGGCAGACTTAGAGCCACTAGCAGGCTCACTTAGTTCAAGCTTCATAGGTTAATCAGGGAGCCGTTTTGGCTCAGTCAGTACAGCAAGCCTATCCTCCGAGATATGAGCAGGTTGATCAGAGGCCACAGGGGCGCGTGTATGCTGTTTCCGTGCCAGAGCAGTTGCCGAGATCCTCAGTTGTGAGAGGTATTTTTGTTGTGTGTAATTCTTTAGCTAATGTGTTGATAGACACTGGTGCGTCCCATTCATTCATATCTGCTGCATTCGCATCTGCATTAGGATTAGAGGTCGCACAGTTAGCGTCCCCGCTCAGAGTAGAGTCACCAGTTGGGGGTACAGTTGATTTAGATCGGGGGTGTCGTGGTTGTGAGATAGAGGTTGCCGAGCATCGACTGTCGTTTGCTTTTGTGTTGCTAGACATGTCGAGTTTTGATGTTATCTTAGACATGGATTGGTTATCTTCGTATCAAGCAATGATTGATTGTTTTTGTCAGAGGGTCATAGTGTGCACATCAGGTGGTGATTGTTTTTACTTTCTGGGGGACAAGGTTGATCAGGTCTTATCGCCAGTATTTGACCCTCGTAATAGGCATGAGCTTAGCGGTCTTCTTTCTACTCTCTTGGATAGTGAGAGTGAAGGGACTTGTGTTGAGTTGCCAAGGGTAGTTTGTGAATACCCGGACGTGTTTCCCGAGGATCTTACTAGTTTGCCACCCTACCGAGAGATCGAGTTCACCATTGACTTAGTGCCTAAAACGACACCAATTTCTATGGCTCTGTATAGATTTGCACCCGCGGAGTTGCATGAGTTAAAGATTCAACTCCAAGAGCTTTTAGACAAGGGCTTTATTCGCCCTAGTACATCACCTTGGGGAGAGCCGACTCTCTTTACGAAGAAGAAGGATAGGTCGTTACGGTTGTGTATTGATTACCACAAGTTGAACCGAGTTACTGCTAAGAACAAATACCCTTTACCCAGGATAGATGACTTGTTTGATCAACTTAGAGGGTCTTGTTGCTTTTCAAAGATAGATTTGAGGTCGGGGTATTATCAGTTGAGAGTCCGGGAGGAGGACATCCAGAAAACGGCCTTTCATACGCGTTATGGCCACTATGAGTTCCTTGTAATGCCATTTGGGTTGACTAATGCACCAGCTTCTTTTATGGATTTGATGAACCGAATTTTTAGAGAGTACTTGGATCACTTTGTGGTCGTCTTTGCGGATGACATTCTAATTTATTCGACTTCTGAGGAGGAACACGAGGCTCACTTGAGAGTAGTACTTGATTTGCTGAGGAGGCATCAATTGTATGCCAAATTTGAGAAATACGAGTTTTGGCTCACCGAGGTGAAGTTTCGGGGTCATGTAGTGTCAAGAAAGGGAGTAACTATAGATTCTTCAAAGATAAATTCTATACAAGATTGGGAGCAACCTAAAAATGTTTTTGAGATCCGAAGTTTCTTGGGATTGGCGGGGTACTATCGGCGTTTTGTGAGGGACTTCTTTAGATTAGCCGCACCTTTGACTAGGTTGACTAGAAAGGGGGTTAAGTTTGTATGGAGTGAAGCTTGTGAAAAATCTTTCCAAGAGCTTAAAATTAGATTGACTACGGCAGCAGTGTTGGTCATTCTGGATAGACGTTTGGGTTACACCGTTTATTGTGATGCGTCTCGGGATGGGCTTGGTTGTGTTTTGATGGAAGGGGGAAAGGTTGTAGCCTACGGTTCACGACAATTGAAAACTCACGAGAGGAATTACCCTACCCACGATTTAGAGTTAGCCGCAGTAGTGTTTGCCTTGAAAATTTGGAGGCATTACTTGTATGGTGAGAAGTTTTAAGTTTTCTTCGATCATAATAGCCTAAAGTATTTGTTTTCCCAAAAAGATTTGAATTTACGTCAACGGAGGTGGATGGAATTTTTGGAGGATTATGACTTTGAATTACACTATCATCCGGGGAAGGCCAATGTAGTGGCCGACGCCTTAAGTCAAAAATCCGTGAGTAGTTTAGCAAGTGTGGCCATTTGGGAGTGGGTTATGTTGGGAGAAATCGGCAAGTTTGAATTGCATTTGGGTGAGTCCGAAGAGGATGCAACATTGTTTACTTTGAGTGCTCAACCTGTCTTAATTAGCAAAGTTGTAGAGGCACAACACGGAGACTGTGAAGTAGAATCAATTCGTGATAGAATCTCCAATAGGAAGGAAGAAAGGGGTTTAAACATTCACGCGGATCAGAGTGTGCGTTACCTAGACCATTTGTTTGTACCTGAATCTTGTAGAGAGGAAGTGCTTCAGGAGTTCCATCACTCATGCCTTGTGGTACATCCGGGAGGCACAAAAATGTATCGTGACCTTAGCCGTCAGTTTTGGTGGAAGGGTATGAAGTGGGATGTCGCAACCTTTGTGTCCAAGTGCCTTACTTGTCAACAAGTGAAGGCTGAACATCAAAGACCAACGTGTTTGTTACAACCCTTACCAATAGTCGAGTGGAAATAGGAGCACATTACCATGGATTTTGTAGTTGGGTTTCCTAGAACCCAGCGGGGCAATGACGCCATTTGGGTGATTGTTGATAGGTTGACTAAGTCCACACATTTCATTCCGATGCGTACTGGCGATTCAGTTGAGCATTTGGCAGAGTTGTACGTTAGGGAGATAGTTCAACTTCATGGGGTTCTAGTAACCATTGTGTTGGATAGAGATCCTCATTTTACTGCCCGGTTCTGGAAAAGCCTTCAAAAGGCATTGGGAACTAAGCTGACTTTTAGCACCGCTTATCACCCTCAAACTGATGGGCAGTCGGGGAGTACCATTCATATTTTGGAGGATATGCTTAGAGCTTGTGTCTTAGATTTTAAGGGGCCTTGGGAGAGGCATTTGCCATTAATTGAATTTGCCTACAATAATAGTTATCAAGCTAGCATCGAAATGGCACCGTTTGAGGCCTTGTATGGCCGATGCTGTATATCACCAGTTTGCTGGTCCAAGGTGGGGGATGCACCGTTATTGGGTCCGGAAATTGTTAGGAAGACAACCGAGAAAGTTACTCTCATTCGGAAAAGGTTAGCTACATCCCAAAGTCGACAGAAAAGTTATGCCGATAAGAGGAGACGACCTTTATCTTTCAAGGTAGGTGACCACGTTTTCATTAAGATCTCGCCTAGGCGGGGTTTAATGAGGTTTGGCAAGAGTGGAAAGTTGTTTCCGAGGTTCATTGGGCCTATTGAGATATTGGAGAGAATCGGGAAAGTGGCATACCAGTTAGCTTTACGGCCACAATTTTGGGGTCCACAATGTGTTTCATGTGTCAATGCTTAGGAAGTACGAACCCAACCCTTCTCATGTATTAGATTGGGCTGATTTGAAGGTGGATGAAGATGCCTCTTACAATGAGCGACTGGTTCAAATACTAGATACCCGAGAGCAAATGTTAAGGGGCAAAACCATACCGTTAGTAAAGGTGTTGTGGAGACACCACGGGGTTAAGGAAGCAACATGGGAAAGGGAGGCGGAAGTCCGCTTCAAGTATCCAGATTTATTTGAAAATGCTTAGTTTATTTTGATTTGTAATGCTCCCTAGTGTTGAACGAAAAGAGTGTTAAATTGTTGATCACATGTTGTTATATGTATTGTTAATCCAAGCATGACATTGTGAAGGAATGATATTTTGCTACAAATGTTTTATTTCATATGTCTAGTGAAAGCAATTGTGATTTGATGAAATGATGATGAAGAGAATGGTAAATGTTGGTTGAGCATCGATGTTGCAAATTGAAAATGTTGTTAAAATGGTCATAATTGCTAGCGTCCTTTTTGTTTGGTTGGCTTATTTAAATTTCAGGGACAAAATTTCCTATTATAGCGATTCCAGTTTTGACCCGACCTTTATTGCGACCCGAACTTGGGTTCTATGGTTGTACGTTGTACCCATCTCTTGTTTTTCCCCTTTCACTATTTGTATTTGAGTTTTGGAATGTCTTGAGCGTGTTTAGAACAGGTTGGTTGCTAGTTGGACTAGAACCTTGTTGCCTAGAATTTTGGTCTTTCGCTCGAGCGGGCCTTATTGCGCTCAAGCAGAAGTTGTAAACTCTCAGTACTTGGCACGTCTGCAGAAGTGCTGGAGGAGTGTTTTTCATGCTCGAGCGGCGTTTCCTACGCTCGAGCAGGTTGACGCTCAAGCGAAATTCCTTGTGCTCAGGCGGGTTGTCTGTAGACTGCAAAATACTGGAAGTGTGTATTCTACACTCAAGCAGGTAGTGCCTTGTTGTTGTGTCTTGGCGCACGAGTGGCCTTTATTGCGCTCAAGCAAAACAAAAGTTTGTGTCTGACGCTCGAGCGTCAAACTCTCCGCTCTAGCGGACTGCACATATATCAGATCACAAAAGTGACATTAAATCACTTTTACATCCTTTTCTCTCTCTAAAACTTTTCAAAAACCTAGATTGAGACCTTCTCTCTCTAAAATACTCCCTCTCTCTACATTTTGGCCTAGATCAAGTGATCTCTACACCCTTGTGCCTTCATTAAAAAGTTGGAGCATCTCAAGATCTACCTTTTGATCCGAGTAAAGTCAAGTTTGGGCATTTTTGAGGTTTTGAGCTTCTATTTTTGAGGTAGGGATATTCTACTCTTTAATATGGGTTTTAACCTAGGTATTTGTCGTTTTGTATAAATAGTGGGATTTTGGGAAGATTTGAGTGAAGTTATGGT